CTTAGGACATCTTGCATTGATTAATTAGCCAGTTTTGAGATAATATATACATAGGTGTAAAACGTCATAGGCGCGTTTTAGTAAAAGTCAAAAAAAAAAATAGATTAAATCTAAATTTGAAATATACTTTCTAGCAAATTTAGACAAATCCCAAACAAAAAAAAATAAAATTTGCTATTTATAAAAAAAATCAATTAGACAAATAATGTGCAAATATATTATATTTTCGTCTTTTATCATGCAATAAAATAAACTATTATCCAAATGCTGTAAGAATAGCAATAATAAGTGTATTGATAAACACTCAATCATTTTATTAATAATTTTGTAAATTCTCATCGTTCCACTTTTCTTTCGCTTATGTAATTTATGCGCACGTTGATTAACTTTGAAGAATTACAGCTGTTTTCAAAAAGGTGTAACCAGGTGCAAACCATTATATCATGGGAGATCCACACGAATTTCCTCGATTTCCCTTATTCGCGAAATCAAGGAAAGCAGGGAAATTATGTAGGTTTCCCCATGATATAGTGTTTGCACTTTTTTTAAGATAGCTATAAATTGTTTGTAAACAACGTCTGATTAGATTTAAGGACATGGTATGTTTGCAAAATTTTAAAAAGAATTTAAACCATACTTGTTTTTTAGATGATTTTTTCCTTTATGGTGTTGATTGAGGCAAAAATCATCATTACTACGTATCAAATAATGATATTAATTAACTATTAATTAATCGTTTAATTTTCAAATTGTACTTACAATTTACAATTTTTTTGCACATTAGAAACAAAACCTACTTGTTCTGATACTGAGAATAAATATTTTTAGTGTCTTTTCTATATGTTAAAGTATTGGTTCTATGTATGATTCTTGCTCAGATGCAGTGAATAAGAAGGTTTACTAAAGGTAATGATTGATTGATTGAGCTAAACTTTTCTTTTGTTGCGTAGGATCCATACTCACAGTCTTGTTTGCTACACGTATCTGAAGTAAACACCTTATCACCCTTTTAAGGTGTTTTTTATGTTAGTTTTAATGTCATTATTGAGATTCCACTTGACAGTTACATGTTATATATTCCTTCGTCATGTATTCATCAGAGGAGTGAATTCAATATGCATGAAAGAAACATTTGTGCAGACTTTATATGAAATGCTGCACTTGTGGTTGAGAGATAAAGAATCGTAACATTTGTATATAATATGATCGAAACTATTAATGAAGTAATAGTCAATTAAGAAACTTTTCCGCGATTGATTAGCTTGACCAGATAACTGAGTTAGGTTCCGTGACCTATTAAGATCCTAATAATTTACTAGAATTCGCCGCTCAAGTTTATTTATTATTCTAGTAATTTATTCTATAAATAATATTTATTTAAAAAATAAAATGATAATTTAGAGAGCCTTTTTTTATTCATTATAAAATTGGGAAATATATTCCTATTTTTAAAGAAGTGCTCAAAAAAGATCTTATTACTATATATGTAAAAACGATATACGTAGTAAGAAATATTCTCCAGACCTTTCCATTTTTAACAAGGATAAAATCATCTTAGAATAGCTCTTAATTATTTGTATCTTTGGAAATTATTTAAAAAAAAAAAAAAAATTACTGGGCTAAGTTTAACAATCTTACTAACATTAGAACCGTAAGACGAATAATTTTAGTTTATTTGTGCCAGAAATATATCGAGATCACATGTTAATTATCCAATTAGACTAGGAAATAGAACCTATTTAAAGTCCGAAGGACAAAAATTAGACTGATTTTTTCGTGTAACACCTGATCCAGCCAATCATAATTCAGAATTTGTTAACACACTGACATCGGACAATTACCAAACTGCCAAATCAGGAGTAATGTAAAGCTCTATGAAGGCGTCTTTTATGTTTTAACGAAAAAATTTCTTGCAAACATTAGCATATATAACATTCTTTCTGATTCTAACCTAAAAAAAAATTAAATGTTCATTTTTTATTATACATGTATATTATTATATATATATATATTTTATTATTATTTTTATTTTTTACTTAGTGACTTATCTTGTTGCGTTATTATTGAATAATCAGCATGTGATGCTAACCTAGTTTGGTAAAATTTTATTATTAAATGTTAAACTAACAGTTCGGACCGTTTTACATGATACAACTTACGTACGTATGTGCACTTTATTATAATAAATTTCCAATGCAGTCGTAACATAATTTAACCTCAATTCCTAAAAATAATTATTTGGTTACTCTTTTGGTTAATACGTAATAATAATTTAAAAATATTTAATTTAATTATCGTTTCACTATCTATTTCTTTCTCACTATACACTTAATTTGATGCAAACGATTTCTTAAATTTAACTTTAATACACTCTTTTTTTTTTGCTGTAAAATAATCATTCATAATGTTCCGCACATTAGACTTATTATTATTATTAATTTTAACTTTCTTAGCTTGTTCAAATGCTGATACTCAAAATGTAAATCTTTCAGGGTTGGCTTTTAGCCCCCAAAACATTACTGCCAAGAAAGGAGACGTCGTACGTGTCTTATATATTTTATTTTATAGGTTTTTCTTTTTAATTTTAATCAAATCTTCGTTAAAAATATCCTTGAATTAGATCACTTTCTCGTTTGCTAGTGGAAAACATAGTATTGTACAAAGTGACTCACCGGGTATATGCACAAATTCCACAACTTTGACTTCACGTAAGTATCAATTATGTATAATTTAGAATGTTCATTCTAAACTTATCTATTAACAATATA